AATTTCAGAAGCAGCAAAGCGGCATCTTGCTGTGCGTGTAACGGAGGAGTCACGTGCTTTCTTCGCCCTCTGTCCGTTATGCTAACATTACGACTCCAACGGTTACGATCGTAAAAGTTTCCTCTCTAGCCCGTGTGCCTTTCTTTTTGTTTTCTTTTTTTTCCTTCCCCCTCCTTCTGTCACAGTGTCTCTGTGCCCTGATTGAGACTGATTGAGTTCATGTGCCTCCGTGTCAAGTTGTCAGCTGCGTATTGTTCGCTTTCGCCTAAGCCTTCATCTTTGAGTGTGGGGAGGGGACAGCTGGGGGCGCTCCTTGACCTTCCTGTTTGACCGGGTGCTGTGCTTCTCCTCCTGTCTCCCTATTTCAGCCTTTTAGGATGAGGATGTGCTGATCGAGCGAGCATGGAGAGATTGCAGTGTGTTGTGTTGTGCAGCGCGTTTTGCTCTAAGCAGACGCTCAGTCACCGAGCAGCCGACGAGAGGAAGACATGAGTCCCAGCACTTCAAATGAAAGGAGGGTAGAAGGAGCGCAGTGTTCCAGAAAAAGGCCAGAGCCCTTTTACAAGACTACAGTTGTAACCGCTGGTTATAGTGGTACACGTGAAGGGAAGGAACTGGGCATGACATAGCAATTGCAGTACTTCAGAGTATGGCTGTGAGACAGCAGTCACAGGACAGAAGTTGGGTACTACTGTATACCATAGACAACAGACTATAGTAGAAACTACGTTATGTCACAGATGAAGCCTGGGATCGTATTGACTGCCACAGATACAGTAAAGCATTGGTGATCTGTGGCTGTCAGAGATAGGACTTCAATTCGGGCCTTAAGTGTCAACACTCAGTCAAAACGTGGAGAAAAGCTACCTCTACAGTAATACTCCTAGCTCTGGGAGTCGAGTAGTTAGTTAGTGCTAACAGTGATTCTCATTAATTTTTTGCAGGTTTAGATCAAACACAGACATTTGAAGCTTCTATATTTTACTTAAAGCTTGTGACAGACATTAAAGCAATAAGCCACGAGATGCTGTGTGTTACTGTGATTTATCCTGTGATAAAGGAAGGGTGTTCTAAGGCACCACATGAAGCGTGCTAAAATCACAGTAACGCACAGCCACAAGTGGCTTATTGTTTTTCTAACCTGGCGGCCAACGTAAAATATGAAAAAATGCACATTTGTTCAGAAAATAATTTATGTTATTATTAACAATAATCGACATTAAAAAGTGGACGGCACGGTGGCGCAGTGGGTAGTGCTGTCGCCTCAAAGCAAGAATGGCCTGGGTTTGATTCCCGGCCGGGTGACCAGGGTCATTTCTGTGTGGAGTTTGCCTGTTCTCCCCGTGTCTGCGTGGGTTTCCTCCGGGTACTCCGGATTCCTCCCACAGTCCAAAAACATGCAGTCAGACTGATTGGACATGCTGAATAGTTTTTCTAACCTGGCGTGAGTGTTGTGTGACTGTGTGACTGTGAGTGTGTGTGTGACTGTGTATGTCTGTCTGTCTGCCCTGCGATGGACTGGCGACCTGTCCAGGGTGTATCGTGCCTTCTGCCCAATGACAGCTGGGATAGGCTCCAGCACCCCACCGCGACCCAGAAAGATAAGCGGTTTAGATGATGTATGTATGACATTAAAAAGTATCCTGTCAAGAAATGTAGTTCCTTTAGAGTATGGTATCATTGCCAAGCAACCATGGACACTGAATGAGGAGAATGTTCAGCCGGCAGCGCTGTATATTGTGGGCATTTCATGAATTTTTAAACTTTTTGTCGTATAACAATGAACATATGATAACAGCACTGTTTAATGGAAAAAGCTTTGCTTTATTAGTACTTTTTGTTCACCAAATTACCACCGTGAGTCTTATTTAGCACCAATCCAGCTGCCTCCTCTTCTCATGCTGGGGCCGAATCTCAAATGGTTTCATCAGTACACTCAGTGGTCCATGCGAGCAGCACGAGAGTCAAAGATTATTCTATTAACAGCAGAAGGGTTTTTCGTGTCGTGGTGCCGTAATACAGAGTTCAGTTGCTGTTTGGTGGTCATAGGTGTGCGTATATTGTGGATGTGCAACAGCTTTGAACGCGGCTCAGCCAATCAGATTTTAGGACCAGAACTATCCTTTTTTATATATTTGCATATATTTTACCTTGTACCAGTTTTACAGTGACTCTTTCAGTAGAGAGTTTTGCTGTTGAGCTATTTTCAATTTCTTTCAACTCAGTGATTAGGCTGCTGCTTGTATTCACAGCCAGTGATGTGGGTGATGTTTTTCTCATGACATTGGTCCCACCTATTAGAAATCAAATTTCTCAGTCACTTTGTTGTTATGTTTTTGGTTAATCTAATGCGATTAGACTTCTCTTCAGCTTTTCAAGTCCTGACCAATAGGAGAGGTTGCTTAGCCATAACTAAAAAGTGTTTCATACGAGTCACAGTGTTATAGTTACAAAGTGTTTCAGTGTTGTATACAGACACTTTAGTGTAGAAGAAGTTAGTGTTAAAGATACTGTAAAAGCAGGAGACCACATTTACAGTGTTAGAGAAGGAGTCATTATTACAGTTTACAGCGCTACACTCTACAGGCATGTGACCCGAATTAGACCTGTCAAGCCTAACATCTCACTGGCAATACAATTATTCTTAGTTATGATGCATGCATTTCCACACTGGCCTCAGTAAAATGGATCAGGATGCGAAATGGGAGTGTTCTGTGTGCTACTGTGATTTCTGTTGCTACATAGAAGAAGCACCATGCTGCTTCTATTGTTGGATGCACTGTTAGAAGAGCAGAGTTAAATGCAGAACTAGCTAATTGTGTGTTGACTTTACAGGGTTAACAGCATTGTGAATACTTTGCAGACCTTTAAATACATGGTTTTACATTGGTAAAGGCAACTGTTACATACAGAACCAAGATGCTATATACAGTAGATTCATAATGAAAATGCAGGTCATGGTAGTTGTGTGGTAATAGTCTATTATAAGGCAAGTGCAGACACTATAAAGGATAAAAAATAAAGTGTTATATACACGCTGTAAAAGCAGAGACCCTAGTTACAATATAACAGCCAGTGTTATAGTTTTACAGTATGCTATAACAGCAGGTGGCCTGAGTGTTACAGATTAAGCAATAGTGTTGTGCTTTTACAGTAGTGTACTATAAAAGTAGGGGACCACAGTAATACAGGTACAGTAAAGGCAGCAGCTATTAGTGATAAAGCCATTGTTACACTGTACCACTTAGTGTAGTTGTTACCATGACAACGAGCATCATGTGAGTCCAATCAAATCAAATCACCTTTATTGTCACATCACATTTACACAGGTGTGAAGTGAAAATCTTATGTGCGTAGCCCCTTTGTAGAACTTAAATACAAAAAAAAAATGAGAGAGAAATATATATATATACACATTAGACTCTAAATATATACACACACAATATACACAACTTAGTCAGTGTGAGAAAAGCAGCAGTGTGTTTTCTGAGTTTTCAGCTGGTGCACTTCTGTTTTTAATTATTTTAAATTTACGTCAGACTCAGGAAATGTCCTTCACGTGTCCTTATTAAAGAAGGCCGAGAGGAAGACGTCGTGTTCTGAGACACATAAGCTGGACATCCGCCCCACCGCCGTCTTTTAAAGATCAGAGCATAAACTTCGTCTCCTCTGCAGACCAGTTTCTGCTCCCGGCAGGTTGAACGCTATAAACTTTCACTATGCAGTGACGCACATGATCAGAACGTACTTAAACTTTCCGATAGGGAATGTTACAGGCGTTTACATGGATATTACTCTTCTATTTAACGTATTATTTACAGGATTACCCGCCTCGTTCACAGCATGAAAAAAATGGGTGAATAAATTAATCAGACTCAGATTTGCACAAATTATAATTGTGTCTTTGGTAATAAATGGACATAGTTCGGGTTTTTGCATGATCAGTGTTTTGCGCAAGAATATAGTACTTTGCAATCTTTCGTTTGGAAAAAATACTGGCATTTTACTGACCCAAACAATCTAGTCAAGTCAAGTCAGAGTTTATTTATATAGTGCTTTTTACAAAATGCATTGTCACAAAGCAGCTTTACAGAAAAATCCAGGTCTGAGCCCCCATGAGTAAGTCAATGGCGACAGTGGCACGGAAAACACCCTAAGAGTCAGAGGAAGAAACCTTGAGAGGAACCAAGACTCAAAAGGGGGACCCATCCTCCTCTGGTTGACACTGGATAGCAAACAGTAACTATGTAGTCTGTGTACAATCTATGTAGTGTATAATTTATACCAGAGCCGTATATAATCAAGGCATTTTTAACACAAAAATTATTAAAAGTCAAACTTGAGTATATGTATATTGTTACATCCGTAAGAGCCAGATATTACAATATGTAGTATGTTGTAAAGGGGCCAGTTACAGTGTTACAGATGAAGCCCGTGTTACAGATGAAGCCAGCATTGCGGTGTTACATTATAAAGTAAACTCTAATATCAGGGGTCTTAGTTACAGTATTACAGATAAAGCAACAGTGTTACAGTATACTGTAAATGCACAGAGTAGGATTTACAGTGTTAAATATGGAAGCCACCAGCGGTGCTTTACAGTGCTGTTGTGATTATAGTGTTGTGGGAGTAGTGAGAACCTACAGAGGTGGTTAAATAGATATTGAGGAGAGATGATATATTTATTTCTGCCCTTCATTTCCCAAATCCTGCCCTCTTTCCCCTGGCCTATGACCACCCCTCCCCTCTTTTTCCCTCCCTAGGATTTAAGCCTCTTCCTGCTGCAGTGGAACTATCTACAGCCCCAGCGTCTCTTTTATAGAACTCCTATCTCTCTCGCTCCCTCTGCACGCACTCTTTCTTCTCTCCCTACCCTCCCCTGCCCTTTCTGTATTCTGTACCCAGCACTACTGCTCACACCTCTAACCCTGCTCTGTATTTCTCTTTTACTAACCCTCTCTCTCTCTCTTTCCCTCTCTCTCCTTTTCTGTCTCTCTCAGTGACTACATAATCAAGGAGAAAACAGTGCTCCTGCAGAAAAAAGACAGTGAGGGTTTTGGCTTTGTGCTGAGAGGGGCCAAAGGTAAGATGCTCACCGCCCATCTCTTTCTTTCTTTCTCTCTCTCTCTCCATCTGCATCTCCAACTAACAGATGAAGGGACACATATTGACGCATTGCCAAATCCATTCTTCCTCTGTCGTAACAGAGGCTCAGGTTAAGTGACATCATCTCTCTATGATCTCCCCTTCACTTCTTCTACATCTGAGACTCTGACAGCACACACTGTTCTCAAAAACAGATGATTTCTAGTGCTTTGACCGTATCTCTGTGTGTGTATGTGTTGTAGCTCAGACCCCTATAGAAGAGTTCACACCCACCCCAGCCTTTCCAGCATTGCAGTACCTTGAATCTGTTGACGAGGGAGGCGTGGCCTGGAGAGCTGGACTACGAATGGGTGACTTCCTGATTGAGGTGGGTACACAGATGCATGAAGGGAGCCGTGGTGCGGTGTGGTTCTTATTTAAAGATGCATTCAGAATTAACCATTCACTAAATTGATTTGTTTGTTCTGAATAGTTTACTGGCCATGTTCACACTCTGTATCTGTCTTGACTGATTTTATTATAAGACATACAGCCGTTTACACCAAGCATTTTCATACGTCTCAGATGCTTCTCCAGTGGTCAAGTGTCATTGGATTTTGTGGCTGCACTGCAAAAAATAGTATCTCGTCAAGTGAAATTATCTTAAATCTAGTCAAAATACTACAACCCCATTTCCAAAAAAGTTGGGGCGCTGTGCAAAATGTAAGTAAAAATAAAATGCAATGATGTGCAAGTCATGTAAACCTATATTTCACTGAAAATAGTACAAGAACAACATATTGAATGTTGAAACTCAGAAATGTTATTGTCTTTTTTACAAATATCTGCCCATTTTGAATTTGATGCCAGTAACACGTTCCAAAAAAGTTGGTACGGGAGCAACAAAAGGCTGGTAAAGTTGTGTAATGCTAAAAACACCTGGTGGTTAATTGGCAACAGGTCAATAACATGATTGTGTAAAAAAAGAGCATCCCAGAGAGGCTGAGTCTTTCAGAAGTAAAGAGGAGGAGAGGTTCACCACTCTGTGAAAGACTGCATGAGCAAATAGTGCAACGAAAAAATAAAGTAGCAAATATCATCTACAGTACATAGTAACATTAAAAGATTCAGAGAATCTGGAGAAATCTCTGTATGCAAGGGACAAGACCAAATCTAGTATTTGCTGGCCATGATCTTTGGGCCCTCAGGTGGCACTGCATTGAAAACAGACATAATTCTGTAGTGGAAATCACTGCATGGCCTCAGAAACACTTCTGAAAACCACTGTCTGTGAAAACAGTTCGTCACTGCATCCACAAATGCAAGTTAAAACTCTAAAATGCAAAGATGAAAGCGTATATAAACAGGATCCAGAAACACAGCCACCTTCTCTGGGCACAAGCTCATTTAAAATGGACTGAGGTTAAGTGGAAAAGTGTCCTGTGGTCCAACAAATCAAAATTTGAAATTCTTTTTGGAAATCATGGACACTGTGTCCTCCAGACTAAAGACCACTCAGCTTGTTATCAGTGCACAGTTCAAAAGCCAGTATTCATGATGGTATGGGGTGCATTAGTGCACATGGTATGGGTGACTTGCACATCTGTGAAGTCACCATTAATGTTGAACGATATATACATGTTTTGGCAACATATGCTGCTGTCTAGACGACGTCTTTTTCAGGGAAGGCCTTGATTATTTCAGCAAGACAATGACAAACCACATTCTGCATGTATTACAGCAGCATGGCTCCATATTAAGAGTCTGGGCGCTAAACTGACCTGCTTGCAGTCCAGACCTGTCATCACTGAAAACGTTTGGTGCATTATGAAATGAAAAATACAACAAATGAGCTCCTGAACTGATGAGCACCTGAAATCTTATATCAACAAGAATGGGAAAATATTTCACTTTCACAGAGATGTTCAAACACAGTGGTAAACATGCCCCCGTCCCAACTTTTTTGGAGCATATTGTTGGCGTCAAATTCAAAATTTCAAAAAACAATAAAATTTCTGAGTTTCAACATTTGATATGTTGTCTTTGTAGTATTTTCCTTCAAAAATATGGTTTACATGATTTGCATATCATTGCTTTCTGTTTTTATTCACATTCTGCACAGCGTCCCAACTTTTTTTGGAAATAGGGTTGTAATATTTTCCATTTTAAGATGGTGGTGCACTAAATGTAAGATTATCTGGCTTTTTTTAGACATTATTTACTTGTTTTAGGTGATTTTATAAAAATATATATTTATAATTGTAAAATTATCTCACTATACTGGCAGATAATTTTGCTGTTTTCAGGCACATTTCATAAAACAAGCAGCCTTTCACAATTGGGCTTGGTGACCTTAAACTTATGTGTGGCTGCTCCAGAGTGTCCACTTCTGTTGCCAGTGTTTTTCTATGGAGACTGTACAAGCTGTATGTGCAGTGGAACACCATTTCTGAATCATTTCTGTTCATTCAACCAAAAGATGGGCTCCTCGTTCTCCTTGTTCTGCAAAACTCTCTACAAAAAGTTCTGATTAATTTCTCACCTCCAGTAACACTGCTCACAGGTAATGGGTGCACCTGTTCTCACTTCCCTCAGGTGAACGGTCAGAATGTGGTGAAGGTCGGGCACAGACAGGTGGTCAACATGATCCGGCAAGGCGGCAACAGCCTCATGGTGAAGGTTGTCATGGTAACTCGAAACCCCGACATGGAGGAGGGATCGAGAAAGAAAAGTAAGAGACTAACAAGAGTGGTGATGTTGATTATTACGATGATGATTGATGATTATCAGCAATCAGGAAGAATGTGATTGTATTGCATGCAGTCACAGGAATGACTAAGAAGATAATGTTGATGGTGATTATTGTATTAAATCAGTTTAATCCAAAATGGGATTATAATGTGACAAGTAACAACTTGTAAGGTCGCTCCAAAAAGCAAGAGAACAAAATCTAACCCACAGAAAGGCCCTTCAGATGGACCATTATATAAACAAATGATAAAGGGACAAATTCACAGTTATTGACAGTTTTTTGAAGAATTTTTATAGCAGTCAAACTGTTAAATATAGCAGGTAATGTAGTGGTAAGGACTACAGAAGTTCCGCTAGTGGTTCTGAATTCATTCTAAATGTAAGTTAAGAATAGAAATCGAAATAATGAACGTTTTGTCACTACCCACATTAACATGCGGTGGGACGGGCATCCAGCTTATTTGTCTCAGAACACGACGTCTTCCTCTCACCCTTCTTTAATAAGTACACATGAAAGACGTTTTCCTGAGTGTGACATCATTTTAAAGTAATTAAAACGCAAGCGCTGCTCACTGCTGCTCGCCTCACTCTGACTGGACTGATGTCATGGTAACGTGTACACTAAGTGAGTCTCTGCACATGCACGTAATTTTGGATCTGATTACTTGTAGCATGTAGCATGTAAATGGAGATTTTCCACCAGGTTGTTTAGTAGAGTGAGCAAATAAAAGCCTCTACACGAGACCCACAAAAACTATGAGGAGAGTTTGTGTATTACCAGAAGCTGATATCTTTGCAGAAACTTCAACACAACAGTCACTTTCATGTGAGAAAAAGTTGCTCGAGTGTATTTTGTACATGACTTGGAAAGGAAAGCGCTGTTTGCCATTCATGCTAAGGACGTCGCATCCTGTTTAACATCACTTTAATGGCAAATGTGAATGTGTGCATCCCAGTAAAATACTGTTTAAAGGCTTAAAGTGTGAATGATGCAAAGCCCAAACATTAGCAGTAATGTAACAGGTTCTGAAAAGGGCTAGTGGGAAAAGCCCTCTGTCATTTGGACTGCAGCGTATATAATAATGTAGTGGAAGATGAATGTGATGATAATGATGATGATAGTGATGATGATTGAATCTTTCTCTCCTCAGTCCCACAGCAGAGTAAGAGGCTGAGCACACCGGCTATTGCTCTGCGATCCAAGTCCATGACCTCGGAGCTGGAGGAAATGGGTAAGACTTTGGGAACAAAGGGGACAAGAAAGAGAGGGAGCAAAGCAGAGAGAGAGAGAGAATTAGAGAGAGTAGAGATGAGATTGGTGGAGAGAGAGAGTGAGGGCGGAGGAGAAGCAGAAAGCCAGTGATGTGTTCAGAAGGAAAGAAGACTACAAGAAAAAGGAGTGGATTGGGCAGGGATATGTGGTGAGATAGAGGGATGAGAGGGAGAGGACAGAGGGGTGGGGAGGGGGATGAAAAAAAGAAAACCTTCAGAATCTCAATCCGTTTCACTGTTCTTTCAGAGGTTCCCCACTGTCACTATCAGCACCCCCACTACAGGTAACCCCAAAAACGATCCCCACCTGTGTAACTGTCCCCACCTCACCTGCCCCCACCTAAGTTGAAGCCCCGCCCCTGCAGGTCACTCGGCCACCACAGACCCACGTTCCCGAGCGGCCACGGTGTGTGTGCGTTGCCGTAGTAACGCTGCAGGGGGTGGGCGTTGCTGGAAAGGGAGACTGTGTGCTGGCTGGGCTGGACTGGTTCTGAGCATGCTCGGTGTGGGGTGGAGAGGCGGCAGGAGGATGATGGCAAATCCCAGATCAGAACCGTCTCCCTAATCTAATGAGCTTTAATACAAGACATGCTGCCATTAAGGGCGAACACACACTCAGATCAGGCATAACCTACACAACACATCACAAGTTTGGACTCACCTACTCGTAGAAAGGGTACTGTTTTACACATTTTAGAAGAACAGTGTAGACATCAAAACACATAAGGAATTACTACCATCAAAAATATTGGCCTTCTTCCAAATAGGACTATTTAGACGCATTAACAAGGCCAGACATGCAACAAGTCATACACAGTTATTAGGATGATATAATGATTGTGGTTCAACGTTTTACAACTTTTTTTTTTTAACGTTCTACATTAATTACGTTAATGTAAACACAGTAAATTAACACCACAATTTTTTAAACACTGCTAACACATTATCTGCACCAATAACGCATTTGTGAACTGTCCATAGTTCCACTCTGAAATGTTGCTCTGGCTGACTCAGCAACTATAGTCTTCTTAATCAAGTATAGCTTTGAAAGTTTCAAATTCCATTAATACCTTGATAAAACCAGTTTTTCCATCTGCTGTATACCACTAAAGTACATTGAGTCTGAAGTATCATTTACAGGCAAAATGCACAACTGATGTAAAAGTTATTAAGAAAATTTTTTTCTTAAGACTAGTTTTACAAAGCTTCCAACATTCACCAATGTTTTCTCATTTGGGATCTTACTTAGATAAGAACAGAATCTACACACACTCAATACCGCAAACATGCAAACAAATCTGTGGTTTACGACTTTTTTAGGACCTTTCTCAAGAACACATTTAGGAAACAGCTTAGGAAGATGTTGGAGAATGAGGCCCTGAAGGTATCACTTCGGCAGACTATGCTTGACAGTGTTCGTGGGAGACCTGAGGATAAATTAACTACCAGCAAACTAACAAAAGCAACAGCAAAGTCGAAATAAAGACCTAATGTAGTGGTATAAGAGCGAGAGGGCTAAAGTTGCAGAAGATGGAACATGCATGTGGTGATGAAAATTGGAAACTGATCACCTTAATTCCATGTTCACCCTGCCTTCACATGATTTTCATGTTCAGGTTCACGTGAACCCTGCATTGACGATTATGTTTTTGAGTTATTGAAGGTAATAGATACAATCTGATCAAGCTTATTTTTTCCGTTCATATAGCTATAACAAAATGCACTGCTTTTTAAATAAAAAACAATCTTTCATGAGAAAAACAGTACAAATCACACTTAACTAAACAAATTAATGTGATTAATCACAATGTATACAATTGTATGTATATAAATTCATACAGTGCTGTGTAGTGCAGTGCAGTCTTCGGCATCTGAGAAAGCGTTATCTGGGTGGTGAGCATTTATTTGTTGAAAAAAAAAACCCGCTAACCTTAGATTAAATACAAAGAAAGTAAACAATCCATTGTGATTGTTCTGTGAATGTGTTAGCTTAACTATTTCCAAAGCTCTCCTCAAGGAATTCCAGTATTTACAGTTACCACGCAATACCTAGTTATCTAATCAGTCGTTCATTAAATCAAATCAGGTGCTGCTGACGGCACGTGTACAAATCTGTTCAATAGCTGGAGGTCAGCGAGAAATCAAGAGCAGAATCTCCCTTTATCTAACTGTGTTCTTCTAGCCAAGCTTTTTTACATACAAAAAGTCTTGTAATTTACACTATTTGTTTATTTGTATATGATGGCTCAGACTTTTGCACAGTACTGTAGATTGTTACTACTTATATTTGTCTTAGAAACAAGTATAAGCCTTTAGATCAGCCTGTCTTTCAGGTTATAAAAACAAGCCATACACACACACACACACACACACACACACACACACACACACACACACACAAGCCACTTATCCTCCTCGTTCGTGGGGGGAGCTAGAGCCTATCCCAGCAGTCATTGGGCGGAAGGCAGGATACAGCCTGGACAGGTCGCCGGTTCATCGCAGGCCATACGTTCATGTGTGTCCAAACTTTTCAGTGATACTGAGTCAGTAGAGCTCAGTTGACCAGCCACAATCCCTTTGTGATCTTCTGTAGAGGCTCACAAATGCTTCACTTTGTCAATCTCTACAACCCAATTCTTCACACAGCTTTTGGAGTTCTTCTCCAACCCACATGCAGCATGTCCTAAAACACAAACACACTCTCAGACCTCAACACCTCCCCAACGCACGTCTCCAGTCCACTATACGGAGTGTGTAGCGTGTCTGGACGAGGTTGCTGGGTTTTTGGATTTTAATTATCCCCAGTCGTAGCACAGTGAGGCGTGGACTCGGTCCTAAATACAGTCCTAATTAGCAGCTGCCAGTTCACAGCAGGCAAAAGCTGCTTTCAGCAGACAAGGACAGTCGTGAACGTAGCACATGGCAGCCACACGGCTTCTATCACAGTGTTAACAGAGGAGATGCATGATTAGATATCAACATTAAAGCAATAGTTAGGTGAAAAATCAAATTCACACAGTTTTCCCCTTTACTCCACATGTCGTGACCTGCTAAGCAGGGCTGCATGATAAAATTTATTGTTATTATGAAGTGAGTTTCTGCTGTAAACACATAGTTAATGGCTGTCATGACAAAATAGATCAAATTAGCTCACACGTGCGCACCAGCTGTGCGTAGATTGGGAGGAATGAGCACTAGAACTCCAGCAAAGGTTTACTTGTGCTGGACTTGAACCCTGCTTTCCCATTTGGAGAATAAGCCACTTAACCTGCTTAGCTGAATGGCCAGTCACAAACTACACACGTACAGCTCAGAAAAGACTCACAACTACACTGGGACACCTACACATTACATCTACAGGAGCATCCCATTCTAAATCCATAGGCATTAATATAGAGTTGGTCCCCACTTTGCAGCTGTAACAGCTTCCACTCTTCTGGGAAGCTTTCTACAGTATTTTGGAGAGTGTCTGCGGGAATCTTTGCCCATTCAGCCAGAAGAGCTTTTGTGAGGTTAAACACTGATGTTGGACAACATTCCTGCTGGTGACATGTCGTTTAAATAAAAATTATGCGTGGCCACGACTTAGCAAGGTGTGGGAACAAGATAAGTAAGTTGAGACCATGACTTACTAAGGCGTGGGAACGAGATCATGGTTTATTAAGCTCTGGTCAAGGCTTAATTATCTCATTCCCACACCTTACGAAGTTGTAGCCACCACTTAATTATGTCGTTCCCATGCCTTACTAGGTCATGGCCACACGTTATTTTTATTTAAACGACATGTCCCCAGCGGGCTCCGTATCTTTCCGACTGAAGCTCCTCGTGGAATTCGCTCACAATTTTGCAGGCTACAAATTCAAACAGGAGAGGTTTGCTAGATTTCTGTTTACACAGCATGTCCATATCGTGCAGCACTTACTGCTGAGACATGTTTGGTATCTGAAGTTTAGTTTTGCACTGTAGCTACAAAGCCAACATAGCTAAATGGTAACATAAGCTTATACCCCACCAAATAGCATTGTTTAAACTGCATGTCTAAGCCAGTAACACACTTACTCAAACCGTGTCAGATTTTCAGATAATATCAAATAGACTTGCTTGTCGCTGCTGTCGGAACAATCGATTTTTGTCGTTTTTCAGTTTTTGGCATAATTTGAAAATACTTAATGTTCTTTACATTGTTTCATGATGAATGGACCAAAAGAAACGGCCCAAAATGATTTAGAAAAAATTCTGGTTCCATTGACTTACATTAAAAGTAAAGTAGGTTTTGTGTTTTTTTTTTCTGTACTGTATTTTTTATACCTGACACAGTTAAAGACAAGTGCACAATGATGTAGGCATATAGATCTTTCAGTGCAAGTTGGTGGGGCATAAACTTCCACTGCTTAGCATCGTAGCTTCATCGCAAAACTAAACATACGAACGTATCTTGGCTGATGGACAACAGTTGAGATAAGAGGAAAATTGAGTTAATTTTCCAACAAACTATTCCTTTAAGTCTGTCTGGGTGAATCAAATTATCGTGTGTTGGTTTTTATTTAACAATCTTGTGTAGATTGTATGAAACAGTCTTGTGTAGATTGCATGTAATAACAGTCGTCGACTGTCTGCAATAACCTCGTGTAGACTGCGCAGTAACTTCGGCCGGGGACTTTGCGAGCGGTCGGCTTATCCGCCCTTTGTCTCTGTGTCTTCATAACCTTATAAATAAGTGTCAGGTGTTAAATGCATGCTAGTGACGTGTCACCCTCTGCCATATGCCTACTCTAATGCGCTGAATTAATAGAGCTGAGGCTCCCTCACCTTATTTCAACCCTCTCACCTCTCCGTGCACTGCAGTGTCCCACCTCTCCTGGCTGCCATGCAATGAGGTAGCTGTGATCTCTCCTGCAGAAATATCGCACTACGAGATCAGCTACAGTGCTGTAATGGACAGGCAGGTTTACGTTTGAATGCGTGGGTTTGAATTACAGGATGTTTTGTGTGTTTGTTTTTTTTTTTAAAAGTGTATAAATTTTACATCACTACATAAGTTTTCTTTTGATGTGTTTGAGCAGACAGTGGGCTGGATGTTCATACGAGCACAGATGTGCCTTGATGCACTCACAATGCATCTGAAAGTAACGTTCAGTTTACTAAGACCACAGCTAATCACGCAAACTGCACGTAGCTCGGCCCACTAACTGCTCACTCGTAAAGCATAGGGTTTAAAAGAGGCCATCAGCAAGCTGGAGACAAAAAGTATAATAATGAAAGTTCAAAAATGAAGAGATAGATATGCTAATAAGTTGAGATATTTTACACCAAAACGTTCTGCAGGAGTGTTATTTTACTAAAGAAAGTAGTGTTTGTCAAAGTACAACACAGACTCCATGCACTTTCAGCAGTCACATCACAGCATGCTTTGTGCCGTATCTTCTAACGTGTGCATCTGGAAGTTTAAACAGTGTGATTCTGATGGTAAATATTTTTCAGCTCGTGTTTGAGGCTCTTGCCACTGTCTGACCACTATGTGTGCTGCGGTTGTTCAAGGAATTCTCACAACAACACACCTTTTGAAACAGATTTATTGGTGATTTTAAGAGGCGAACAAAAATTAGCCACACATGTAATATCTCCACCCACTTTATCAGTGAACCTCAATTTTGCATTTTAGCCTGTCCATAAAATGCACGTTTAGACCAGATTCACCAAAGTGTCTTAAAAAAGAAAATCTTCTTAAATGTGTTTTTTCTTAACTTTCTTAACTTTGTAACTTGACAAGTTATGAGAAATTGTTATTCTTCAAAAATGTATTAAGAATTATCTTATTTTCTTAACTATTTTCTTAAGAATAATTCTAAGAACAGTGTTCTTGAAAATATTATGTTCTTAAATGTGTTCTTTACCTCACATTTTATCAGGGACGCTGTCTCTGCTGCTCCTCATCCTCGTCCGTCACCCCACAATCATATTTTCCAATGAGGATTTTTTCCTGTTGGCTGTTTGTCCACCATCACCTCTAGATCTTGTTTGCTCTTTTTTTAAACACTTGGTTTGATTTATTTTTTTTAAGTATCTTGCATCACTTATGGTACATGGTAAAATGCTGCATAGCCTACATAAAAAAAACAAAATTTTAAAATAAATTTTAAGAAAATTTAAAGAAAATAACCTAGATTATTTTAAGAGCATATTTAAGAACTTCTTAAGTTTTTTTTGAGAATTGCATTTAAGAACATTCTTATGAATTTCTTAGTGTTTGTCTTAAGAAACTTTGCAAGATTTTCTTAAGGCAGCTTTCGTGGATCCAGCCCTAGACTCCTGCATCACTTTCATGCGTAACATGTGGGTTGAATGCTTCCCATTTGTGCCTGAAACTAATGCAAAGGTTTAGAACGTAGATCCCAATAAACCTAAAAAACTGTGAATAGAAAATTTAACATAAAAAATAATCTTCATAAACAGCCGGCAGTCACCTTTCACTACAGACATGCACACACCTGACACTATCACTCGTGCCTCTTCTGAACCCTTCCTGTACACTTGTGTTCCACACGTAGTTGTCTTAGTGCTCTAACCCCTGACCTGTGACCCCTTTCCTCTCTTTGCCTGGCCTGGCTGATGCCATGCAGTCGACAGAGGTAAGAAATTGCTGCATTTCTGCTAAACTGTACTTAGAGGTGGGCAATATGATGAAGGTTTATTGTTATTGTGATACATTTTATCATGATAAACAGTGAGCATAGCGTGGATATCATCAGTACTTAAAGAACACTGAACAGCTGCACATTTCATTACACAAAGAGCATAATTAGGCCTGATTAATAGAATTAAGTGCAGTGTAGTGTGTAAAACGTTGAATAAAAATCACTATCAAGAATTTGTGATGTGATTCATGAAATTATTTTGTGAAAGTAGTTTGTGAAAATGACTGGTATTGTGATATGATATTATTGAGATGTTGCCCACCCCTAACTAACTACTGCAGTATCTATGGTTGTGTACTTTTTTGAGTGTATACAGGGTGAGTCTGTGTGCATACTGTGCTTTTATATTGTCTTATGTAAATAGTGTGATATTGTTCTGTTTACCATGTAAGAATGAGTTTATTTGTAATAGGGTCGTAACAATATACATATTTTCAGGTTCAGTGCTATTCTTGATATCTTATGTATGAATATAAAATGTCTTGATTCTAAAGGGGTCTGCTAATATATTCCAAAATAAACCCCAAGAATCACAACCCCTAGAACAGGTAACCTAAAACTTAAGAAAAGCCATTTTGTCCTTTCTACAAAAATCAAACCATCTTAGGAGCCACACCATTTTATGTCCATTTTACCATCTTGGCTGTAAATATGTCTCAGTATGTGCTGATGAACTAGTAAAGGCTAAAAATGTATTATAAACAGAAATGCACACTTGCTCTGCTTTAATGTTTAGCTCAGCTATAGACGCTTTTCTCGCATCTCCGGCAGGAAACTTTACCTCAAACGTGGAATATTTTTTGTAAAATGTCTCTCAGCCTCAGCTGACTCTCAGCTGTCTCTCAATGACGGTGCCTGAGTAATCTTTTTTTTTGTTTCTTTTTTTTCCCCGCCAACCACACCCCCCACTCCCCCCCCCTCTTCGGAGGACTGTTAGGACTTTGTTATTTATTTTGTAATATTATAAAATATTACATGCACATGTAGGTACATGAGGCATCATTTAAGGTGGAATGGGAAAATTCGACCATGAAACTGGCAGAAAAAAAGGTGCTGACTTCACCTTTACAACTTTTTTAGTGTTTGACAGTCTCTTGTTGCAGATTAAACGTTTTAGGAAAGCAGCTGGAGTGATTATTAATGCAAATATGTCCATTCCCCCCCTTTCGATATTTGTCTTAAATCTTTTTCTCTACCTTTTCGTTAGCTACTAGCTAGCCGTGATTGTTGTCTGCATTGCTATGGTGACCAGCAGTCTGCGCTGATCTTCAGGGTTAAAGAGTGAATTAGCAGTTCTACATTAACTCCAGCGTTTAAGACCATTTATTGTTAAAACTGTGTTGAGATGATAAATGAGAGACCCTCAAAAGAGGCCATGGTGCGTATGAGCGATGCAGTTTTACAGTTCCATACACAGTTTAAAACGGCAACATTTTATTTTTCAGTACTGTATTGAAAGGTTACACCTTGAGTGTGTGTGTGTGTGTGAATACAGCTTCATGTAATTACTGCAGCATTGTGCATGTCTGCTCTTGTTCATAGTAAGAACAGTAGGGCTGTAGCTGCCACCTGCATGCCAAATACAGCGCTGCTGCTACGGTAGTGTTGTGACTGAGTCTCCCTCACACTCTCCGTTTGCTTCTTCACAGCTTCAGCCCCATGGAAAAAAAAATCAGGTAAAGCGCTCGTCTCCCTGTAGCTCAGAGAGAGCCTGTAAATATGTTTATGGGCCGCATCCACTGGCAGGAGTCACCATATGCGTGTGTGTGTGTGTTCTTCCTCTGTGATTTTTACAGAGTTCGAATCCTCACAAGCTACAGAGAAGAAGAGGACAGTCTATCAGATGGCTTTGAGTAAGAAATTCTGGGTGTTTGCTGTGTAATCAATGTTTGAATTAATTAGTCATTGCTCTGTATCTAGTAAGCACTTAAATTTTTCTACATTAAGTTAAACATTAAAGTCTTTAAACCTGCTAGAAAGGTTATAGGCCTTTAAAAGGTCCATATCATGGAAAACTAAATCCCCAGTCTTAACAGTCCATACATGGAAACTAAGCATCAAAACTAGCCTGTTTTGAATTCACAGGTTTTATATCATGAAAACTGACACATTTACAGACGCATATCTATCGCTGCTACTGGAACAAAACCTTGTATCTCCGTTTTATCGTTTTTCAGTTTTTGACAAAATTTGTACATACCTGATGCCTTTTACATTGTGTGTAAATTTCCCGAAGAATGATCCAACAAAAAATGGCCAAAATATACTTGGAAAAAAGTCTGGTTTCATTTATTTACATTAAAAGTAAAGAATGTTTTTGCCTTGTCCTGTAAAATTATCATTTTGGAGATGTATAAATATTATATATAAATACTATATATATATATATATATATATATATATATATATATATATATATATATATATATATATATATATATATATATATAGAGTCTTAAAGACATAGTAGCATAGCCTGTTTAATTATAAGCCATTAAGAGAGGTTAGAAAATGTCCATGTACAAATTAATTACAGATGTTTTTGGTACAGAAACTGACACAAACATTATAAGTGGACCTTTGGGGAATCAAATACATAAACATGTATTATTAAGTAAGACCACCCTCCCACCCTGCAACTGTTTTTTTCTTACTTTCTCAGATAAACTGGATGAGATTTTAGCCGCAGCACAGCAGACCATCAGCACCAACGAGACACCAGTACCACGGGCTCAGGGGGCAAAGAGGGAGAGAGGCAGAGGCTTTTACAATGAGGTGTGTAGTATGTGTATGTACGTGTGTCTGTTTTGGGCGTATATTTTGTTGAGTGTATACATGAAGATTTCAACAAGCATTACTATTAACACCCAGCAGTGCTGTTTTACAAACTGTGTTCAGTGTAATTCTTGAAAAGTACAGTAAAGTTTTTGCCAGTCATGAACAGAAAGATGCTACTAAGCAAAAAAGTCCTTGTGTACCTACAAGTGAAAATGCCATCTGTGTAGTTTTTGAAAGTGCTTGAGATGGACAGGCTCAGAGCTAAAGCACCCTCTGGTGGTCAAAAGCATTATTGCTTTGAACATTTTTAACCGTTTAAAGAAAAATGTTGCAGTGAAAGCAGTGAATTTCTATAAAATAACAAATCTCTAACGTCCTCCGCCAACCTTTTTCTTTACCAGACAAATTACGACCAATCAGGGATGGGGTTGACGTCGTCTGGGGCAGGGTTGGGCTACGACCGTGGCCCATTTGTGTCTGGCCACGCCCCCCAGCACGGTATGCTGCGACAGAAGTCCATCGGTGAGGCTGTCCGTCTGCTTGTCTGTCTGTCTGCTCACCTGTCTGTCCGTTCCGCCATGGTGCAGTCTGTCCGTGGTGCCTGTGCTTCTAGAGTGCCAGACTCAGGGTGCGCTAGCCTGGCGTCAAAATTACAGAAAAAAAAGGCCTGAATCTCGTGAGCTTTCACATCATTTTGCTCCATTCATTCAGTCTGACTTCATCCTGTTTGGGAGCTATTTGTCTGGATACTTTTTAGTCAGACAAATAAATATGTTCTGATGCTCGGATGGTTCTGTTAACAACTGCGTTCGAGGCTGAGACGAATGGTGAAGCTTCTTAGATTGACATGGATGCAAATGGTTTGCTAGTGACGGATGCCAGACTGAATCACTGGAGGAAAACAAGGTGAACTCTCACAAGTTTCAGGGTTGTTCATACCAGGCTGCTATCACTCCTCTGTCCCAGAGACTTCCACATTGGATGATAGAGCACACCTGAAAATACCGTCCATGCTTTTGCAGCTTGCTGTATAGCTGAGTGGCAGCTTGACTAAGGGGTTAGACTGGATTTTGGGAAGCACATCTTTGTAGTGCAGTCACTCTATTGACTGACCAAAATCAGTACACTCTGTTTTTTTACTACCCAGGTTTACTCCTTAGCATACTGCTTTTTGACTATTAGCCCTTTGCTAAGTGAGTTTGCAAAATATTGTCTAGATAATGCTTATGTCAAACATACATTCACCACCCACTTTAATAGAAATCCCTTCCTTGTACTTCTGCTCAGTGACCACTGAATGAGCTTCACGTGCCTAATAGGTCCACTATATCAGTGTGCAGTTACAGACAGCACATCTGTTGCTGCCCATTGATCACTGATCATTGGTATATCATATGTGTATCAGGCACAAATGCCACTGCAAAGTTGTGAGTGGTCCACAACCCAGATATATTCAGCAAAGAGTAGTTGTCAGAAACTGATCGTTGATGGAGGGCTAGAGGACGGTTAACACAAACTGTGCATCAGAAGATTACACTGTAAACAAGAATCACTGTTTTAATTTTAAAAAACAAGTCACCTGACTACCCTTAATATTTTAAGTATATTGAGCATCAGATATAAAGTTAAAAGAGCAATAATATGCGCTTTACATTCTCTTAACTTGAGTTTAATTAAATCAAAATTTTTAGGGGAGCCAGATTACTCAATTTTAGTACAAACACCAAATTGTTTTTTTTACAGTGTCCAGTCTCTAACTGTACACCAGCAAGGTGGAGTTACAAGGGAGGACTTTCTAAAAAGTGCATAGTGAAAGTACGACTAGGCCAATGTGTGATTTAATGAAGTTAAATTGAGTATAATGTACACCAACTCTCTTGGTGTTTAGCTGGAGATTCAAAACTATAGCTTGGTGATTATGGCGCAAGCCTTCCAGTCTAAAAAATTAGATATCGTACTGTTCCATTTATCTGTGTTGGGGAATTCTGTTTGGATTTAAAATTATTATTTTAATTTGTGAATGCATGCTGCATTGTAGTACTAGACCGCTGCCTACTGTGTTTTGTGTCTCTCTCTTTAGATACAAGTCCTGTCTACACAGTTTTTGTGTTTTTGTAACACATGCATACACATTGCAACTAACACAGGTATGTACTGACACAAAGGCTGCTTTGTTGCAGTAGAGAGTCTTACCTTCACCTGTTTATGCTGGAAGACAGGTATACTATATACTGTGCCAGTAATGATGATAAACAGGCAAGCCGGTAGACAAGCAGACAGACAGACAAGCAGAAGTATTACAAGATGGACTCCATTTCAGTTTCAGTGGTTATACAGCTAATTTGATTTTCTGCCTCTTAATTCTCATTCACCGTTTTCTCTCGCTATCACTCTCTTTCTCTTTCATTCGGTATTTTTCTGACTCTTTCATTCTATTGGTTCATGTCTATTCAAAAGTTAGAGTTCTGTCTTTTTTTTCCCATTTCTAGCTCCTTTATTTCCTTTTTCTTTTTCACTTTTTCCTCCTTCTTACTCTTTGCATCTCTTACTCTCCAGGGGTTCCTGAGGAGGAGAAGCAGTTCCTCCATCCTCCAGCCATGAAGTTTGCACGAAGCCTTTCGGTCCCTGGGCCAGACGACATCCCCCCACCTCCAACCACGGCACCCCCTGATCCCCCTTTCTCTTCAGCGCCCCCTCTGGGTTGGAGGGGCAAGGCATCCCAGCAGCCCTCGGTCTCTGTGTCCCAGTCTACCTCCACTTCGACCCACTATCAGCTTTACTCCCAGTCATCTCACTTTGCTCACGGACCCAGAGATAGGTCACCTGGACCCCCTACAAGCTCTGCAGCTGCAGACCATGCAACCTCGTACTCTCATGCCCAATCTCACCCCTCCGTCCCCAGCAGGACTGCTTCCAGGAAGGTGATGGGTTACACAGGAGATTCAGCAGGGGCTGGAGGGGCAGCAGGAGCTCGAACGGCTGGTTTGAGGAGAGGCTACAGCAATGCGGTCCCACCCACCAGTGTGGCCACAGTGATCCCGCAGCAACAGACTGCTCAGAGCCAGCCCACAAGGACAGAGCGCGGTGCAGCAGGACCAACGTCTGCAGCTGGAGTCCCAAAAGGAGGTGTACGTAGAGGCAAGGGACCCCTGGTCAAGCAATCTAAGGTGGAAGATCTCCGTTCTGGCCAAGGTACGCTAGTAGGGAAAGACTCTATTGAGAAGAGCTCCATCCCCATTCCTACCATCATTGTCAAAGCGCCCTCTACCAGCAGCAGTGGACGCAGTAGCCAAGGAAGCAGCGTGGAAGCAGAACCACCACCTCCAGGAGAAAGCGAAATCTCCAAACCTCCTCCAGGAGCGCCACCACCTGCCCCCACCATGCCCCCTCCTGCTCCACCCTCTGTCCCTGCTCCTCCACCCCCATCGCTTCCACCTCTCCGTGCCCAGGAGAGCCTTGATTTTACCAGCCAGTTTGGTGCTGCCATTGTAGGAGCAGCCCGCAGAGATCGCGAGCGCTTCCATGAAGCTCGGCGTAAGAGCGCATCTTTTTTCCTTTCAGCTGAGGAGGAATTGGCCAGCACCACTGGAGTAGGAGGAACAGGAAGGAGCCAAGTGTCACAGCAGTCCCAGCAGCAGTCACTGAGCTCCCAGCCTTCACCTCGCCTGAGGCCCTCCAAGTCTATAGATGAGGGCATGTTCTCAGGAGACACTTTCATCCACCATGCTCGTAGCATGCCACCTGCCTTTGGCCTACCTGAGTACTCCACTCCCGCTCCACCAGGGGATTACCAGCCCAAGTCTGTACCTGCTGACTTCTACTTGGGAGGCAGCCGTCAGCAGCCACAACAGCAGCAGCAGCCTCCTCCCACCACTTTCATCCACCCACTGACAGGGAAGGTCCTGGACCCTTCATCTCCTCTGGGACTTGCTCTGGCTGCTCGGGAGCGTGCCCTGAAGGATGACGGGCGCATGCGCAGGGAGAGGGGTGAGCACCACTTCAGCCGCCAGCTCTCCAGCGTGGGGGCCTTCCCTCCTTCTCACTCTGTAGCTCCATCCTCCTCCATCAGCTCTTCCGTCGCTCAATCCTCCAGCTCTTCCTCATACCTTGTCACTTCCTCTTCTTTAGCTGCCACCACCCCTTCTACCCGGCCTCCATCACCCAGAATCCTGAGAGGAGCAGGGGGAGGGTGGGGAGATGAAGGAACGGCAGGGGAACGGGCTGAGAGAGAGGCAGCTGGAGCTGCACCTTCTTCCCGGGAAGGCTTAAGAGTACGATTCTCTGAGGACAAAACAGTTCACACACACCACTACCAGTCTCAGCACTACCAGCCCACACAGAAGGAACGGGAGAGGGAGCGGCAGAGGGAGCGCTCCCGGGAACGAGAAAGGGAGAGAGAAAGGGAGCGAGAGATGGAAAGAGTTCAGACTCAGCAGCAGCAGCAGCCACAGCCGTCCTTACAGTCAACTACTCAGCAGCCTCGAAGACCATCGTTTTTGAGAATGGAAAGTGAGGCTGGAGCATATATCTTGTCCCTGACCCCTCCTTCTCCTCCACCCACAGCGACACGCACCCACCCAGCTGGGGCAGGGACTGCGGGTGAGGGGACCAGTGGCATGGGCCTTATGGTCCTTCCTCCTCCTGCTCCATCTGTGGATGCAGATGACGAGTTTGTGTTTGCTGACCCTCTCCCACCTCCTCTAGAGTTTGCTAACAGTTTTGATCGTGAAGTGGGCTATTCTGGGATGATGGCTAATAATCTAGCTACTCGTCAGCAGCAACAGCAACATCATCCCCCTCCACCTCCTCCACCCCCTCCACCACCACCCCCCCAAAAAGACGCCTTCATGACCGGCTTCCCCGCACACACACCACTGCCCTCTCCACAGGCCGGCGACTCTACCGCCTCCAGTCTCACTTCTTATGATAGTGAAGTGGCTAATTTAACCCAGTCTGCCCCTTCTCCTTCTCCATCTTCTCCCAACCCTCCCCCGCCTCCTTCGCCTTCTACCTTGCAGCCCTCTGGCCCTCCTCCACCTCCCTCTGTGTCTCCTCCTCCTCCGCCCACCTCCTACCACAGACCCTTTAGCTTAGCCCAGTCCCATCATCTTTACAACAACGCTCCCATAACTGGCCGCTCTTCTTCTCCAACACCTCCGCCCATCTCAATCCCAGCTCCCCCCGCCTACCGGGGACCTCCTACTGCTTCTTCAGCCAGTGTCACATCAGCCCCATTGAGAGGCACCGCTACCCTATCTACGACCGCAACCTGTGCCACAGCAACAACCACCACGGCTAGCTCTGCCGCTAGCATTGCCGCTAGCACTGCCGCTAGCATTGCCTCAAGCATCGGCGTGACCATGCACACCCAGCGCATGGCAACTGTTTCCACTGTGGCCACGGGAAGTGGGAGTAGGAGGGCCAGCGCCGAGCACCACCCACCACCAACCTCAGCATCAGGCAAAAGTGGAGAGTCCCAGGAGACTGTGGTGGACTCTGGGATTGAGGAGCTAGACAGCCGCAGCAGCAGCGATCACCATCTGGACAACATCCTAGCACTCAGTGGGAGAGAGAGGTTAGAGAGAGCGGGGATGGGAGGTATTGGCATAGGAGAGAGAGGAGGAGGAGCAGTGGAGAGCGACAGGATGAGCGGAGCAGACTTCCTGGAGTCCTACATGAGTTACCTGGATGGACAGACCTTTGAAATGCACAACGCCAAAGCAGCCAGCACTGCATCCACATACCCTAAGACGCAGCGATATAGAGAGGGTAGCCGGGCGGCTGAGCTCAGAAGACAGACTAGTACAGCTCCTCCAGCGTTCCATAGACGGCGAGAGGAAGAAGAGCCTGAAGAAGAGGAGCCAGAAGAGGGAGAGGATGAGGACGTTGGCACTCGAGATGGTTATGGTATCAGGGAAGGACAAGGATTGGCCCGCTCATCTGTCATGTACTTTGACCGGCCCCGTACCCCTGAAATGAAGCCTCTTTGGGGTGAAGGGTCAGCAGGGGCAGGGCAGGGGGTGGGGGAAATTGGAGCTCAGACTGGGGGGACGTACCTGGAGGGGCGTAAGCTGCACCCTCCCGTGTCCAGCATGAAGGCAAGCATCATCAGCGAACTGAGCACCAAGTTACAACAGAGGAGCAAAGGAATGGAGAACTGGGGAGCACAACGGTCACTGAGCCGACACAGGTGAGTGTAAGCATGTGTCCATTTGTCCAGTATGCCCATGCTTGACTGATCTACTGCTTATTTGTGTATGCATGAGAGAGAGAGTAGGCCTTATGACAACACATGTGCCTGTTGAGTTCAACTGCTGGACTGTGTGTCAGTGTGTCAGTCTGTGACAGTGGTGGACAATAATGAAATACATGCACTTTATTTCTGTGCCTAAGTACTTTTGTTAAGAATCTGTATATAAATAAAGTATATAATTTTTTGAGACTTTTACTTTCATGTCACTACTTTTCACAGTAAAATATTCTAAAGAAACACTTTTTGCTAAATGCTGTGAAGTTAACACTAGATTTTCCATCAAATCCAAAACAATATAACAAATAAACCAAACCAATCATAGTGCACTTTTCATTAAATCCCTCCCCTAAAAACTACATGTGCGGTCATAGCTTAACAACTGTAACTAGGCCCAAGTACCTCTGACATGCTTTCAGAATTAAAGAAAATGCCGTAATGTTGTTTGTGGTGTTTTTAAATTAGATACCTGCCGTCCCAGAACTCGGGATGGGAAGTGAAATTTTACTCATTTGTTCAACACAAGACACACGAGTTTGGATTTTTGTATTTTTAAAATATCTTGCAATACTTTTTTCTTTTGATACTAAGTACTTTTAATATAAAGTGCTGTTATACTTTAACACACGTAAAAATATAAATGGAGCACTTACATATTTACTAATATTTATCCAAGAGAATCTCTACCTTCACTGAAGTACCAAATTTATGTGCTTTGTCCACCATCGGTCAGAGAACGACCTGGTCTCAGTATAACAGTTCACACACTTTGCTTAAAAGTATGTAGACACCCGTTCTAATGAGTGAATTTGGCTCTTTTAAAGCTCCCTATTCCCCTACAGAAATTTTATTCTTCGGTCCTGGATAGGGTTGGGTGTTGTCCACCGATTCTTCTGGTTATCAGGAGAAAGTGGTTGCTTTCTACTGTTGCCTTACCTGTACCATTTGAAGCCTGTTTTAGCCAAGACCTTCAATAGCAGCCCAAAGGACCAAAGGAAGCAGAGATATTTTTTTATGTTATTCATTACACATTAAGAGAAATGTTATTCAGAAATGCTATTCATTATTATAAATATATTTTTTTCATTGAACACTATAAAGATTTTTTTTTCTCAACTTTTTGGGCCAGTTTCCCAGACCCTCATTAAACAGAAACCTAGACTAAAGCCCAAAGCATTGGGCTGTGGAGCAGTGGAACTGTATTCTTTGGAGTGATGGAGCTCCATCCAGTACCTTTGGGATGAGTTGGAGTGATCCAGAACTGATCCTGACCTCACTAATGCTCAATCAAATCCTCACAGCAATGTTCCAACATCTAGTGTAAAGCCTTCCCAGAAGAGTAGTGGCTGTTAAAAAAAGGCGATAAACTCCCTAATTAAACTAGAGGTGGGCGATATGGCAAGAATTTAATATCGCAATACTTAAAGAAATATTCATGATACTTAATGTCACAATATTCATTTTTCTGACATCTGATCAGTTGGAACAGAGAAAAAAGAACCAGTAGTGCTACATTTTAAAAGATACGATCAAAAACAGTGAACACAATAATTCTTATTAATTTTTTATTTATTTTATTATTAAATATTTGGCGTAGCATGGTGGACTAAATCCAGTTAAACGGACTAATTTTGCTCTCTTTATAATGAAACATTCAGTTGGACAGTGCTTTACCAGACCTGACAATATAAATGATAAGTTCAGAAAGGCATTCTGTATTGTAGTATGACAATTTATCACGATAACAATATATATTTTCATATTGACCAGCTCTAATTAAAACCCTGCATTTCAGAAGAAATGCTGGACAAGCAGGTGTCTACAAACTTTTGGACACATAGCGTATCCATGTTTCCAAGATTTTGTGTGTGCATGTGAGAGAGACACACAGAAAGCTGGGTTTGCTCTCAGCTGCTTTGCTTTGGTGCTAGTTTTGTCAGTAATGGCATTTTACAGTATTATTTTCAGTCAAAAACCTGAAAAGACATGCAAAGTCACTGGCTTATGTTGAATCATTTTTTTAAAGAAAGAAAGACTCTTAAATCTCTGACCAGCAGTCATTGTTACTGGACAGATTTCAACACTTCTAACAGGTAAAAACACCTGTTTTTTTTAATCCCATGTTTCCTTCAAAAGAGGAATGATTACTTAAGGGACAGCTATGATGCTGTTCACGCAATTCCTGGTTATGCTTTAAATGCGTACTACAAAGTAAATAAATAACAACTTGGGGGGGGAGAACTGAAAATAATGCAAAAATAAATATACCTTGGTATATTATAAACAGTATGGAATAAAAGGAATGTGATTATTTTTTTACCAGTGGTCTTTGCAGTACGACACATATGGATATGAATAGTAAACACATTTTCAAACACATTATTGCAGGACAGTGCTCGTTTTGCATGCAGGTCTTCAGACTTAAAATCACTAGATGGCAACAAAGGACTATTTATATATTGTTTGATGCATGAGTATTGCATGTTGTCTTTGCCTGTTCACTGTGTGATGGGAAAACAGGCCTGTTCTGAAAAAGTTTGGAGGAACTTTTTCCAGTCTGCCGTCTTAACAGAGCTCATTCAGAGCAATTAGTGCTGTTTTGCATTTAAAATAATGGTATTTGGAAATGCAGCCTAGGAGATTTCATTGGTTAAAATGTTTCCAAAACACAGTTTAGACAGATAAATGTGCACATGCCAAACTGTTTGTAAACATTTACATCCCATATATAGATATACTGAATACAATGAGAAAGACAGACAAATGTACACATATATACATACGCTCATGCTCCACTTGATTGGAATCTCCTTCCTGTAAGCCCGCTCACTGGTCACCATATAACGGTCGCTGACCTGCTAAAGAACTGAAAAGCAGCTAGCAACAGTTGCTAAGCAGTGATTGGACGGCTGAGTAAATGAGGCAGGTTTTGAGACTGGTCTGATTGGCTCTGTCTTTGATGTTGGTACAGTCTAGTCACGTCTCCGCCCTGTAGTATGATACACAATACATGATGATAATTGTCGCTAAAAAGAGTAGCATGCAGTATAGTATCACAACAACAAAGAACTTACTTCCAGGTGGAAAACACTGGTAGCAATGCACAGATACAACAGGGTTTTGTACCAATCCTGATACTTATTTAAGAGTTATTTAACCAAAGTATTGGAGAAAACAAGTTTTTTTGATCTTGTGATGAAACGTCTAAATACAGAGATGAACCTTAGTATGAGTGTGTGCCTCTATGTATTCATTATTAAATACTAGCAAACTATATGCTGCTAATGCCGTTGTTGACGTAGATAAACCTGTGTGCTACTAAAGCCGTTCTGGTCTGATCTTCTCACACCGGTAACTTCACCAGTAACCATGAGCACACACCAGCCACGCATTTTCACTGCATTGTTTAATGAAAAACTTAACTTTATAAGTAGCCATCACTTCATCTGCTATGATAATGCTAATAGCTGTTACAGTGGCACCACGCAAACGTTTGGATTTGCGTCTACTTAAAACGAGCTGCTCTGACCACTGACTGAATGCGACTTATGCACCCAGAAGTTCATGTTTACAAACATTCTGATTGGGTCTATACAGAATATACTGGTGCCGTATGCAGTATATTGTACACAGTATGTTATTTTCGAACACAGCCTCTTAATGTAACTCTCAAAGACCTTACTAATGAGTTGAATTGAGGTTTATTGAGGTATAACGCTAAACTCTGCAGTGCTGTGGCCTGATAAGGTCGGCACCCCGCTTACTGTTTGCCACTGCTGGTCCACCCTCGGACCACCCAGATTATTGTCCTGCATACAGGTTCTAACTAGTTTTTACTGTCCCTAAACAGATTTTAACTGCACACAGACTTTTATTTTAGAAAATAAACTTAGACAAATATTTATGAACAACTGAGAGAAAAAAAAATAATGAATAGGCCTAATATAAAATGATTTTATAGTAAATGTTGTTGCTGACACTGTGCTAGATTAAAATTATTTACTAAACTAATTTACAAAGCATAACTAAAGAAAGGAAGAAAGCAAAAATAAGTAAATCGGACTGTGAGTGGAAAATGAGTGATAAGTTGAATTTTGTCTATTACTCTGCTTAACCTCCAGTAGGCCGTCCGGAAAACGCTGAGCTGCACGCCAATAGACCACCAGCTTTGCCATCAGTGGGCCAACAGTGGCCCACTATCCTCTTGCTGTCAGGGATGTTGGCTAGATGGCTAACACGAATTGTTCATGGCAACAGATGGGCTACAATCCTGGATGCTGGTGGAAATCATTGTCTTATTGGTCTTTTCTCCTAAGTGGAAGATGTGCCAACATGTTATGTATACAAATAATATATTATTTATATTTTCTCTGTTTCTGGACTGAGCTAACATCAGCTAGAGTAGTTAGCCTAGTTTACGGAAAAGACGCACCACAAGCAGCAGTCTTCTTGGTCACATTCTCAACACATCCTTGGCAACACATTAAAGTTGAGGCATAGCAAAGTGGAATTTGTGTCTGTATGTACATACATTCCCATAAATATGAGTAAATGTGCCACATCCTGTTAAAACACCAAATTGGCATTTCACCGAATTGTCAGCCTGTATATTTTCTCTGACTTACTATCATGAAACACAATGAATACCCAATTTGTGACTGCAGTAATCAAATACTGAGAACTCAAATGGTTAACTCAGTACCTGTGCATGTTGTTATTACAAGTATATATAAAAGTGATTTTAGCATGACTGAGTGATCCAAACTTTAATAGCCAGATGGCACTAATGTAAATGTCTCCCCAAGTTTATTTACTGATTGCATCTGTAAGGACCTTGCATGAATTTTCTGACCACATGGTGATACCAAAATAGGTCCTTGCATATTTGCATCACCCTTGCCTGCTTACTCATTGGTAGTGATGTCTTTCTGGAACATGAACGCATGAATCTGTGCTTGCAGGTCACTCTTTTGAATGGGTCTACACCCTGTGAGCGTACTGTCATTATGTCTATGTTTAAATTGTTCCTTCTTTTTGTAATTTCTGCTTATCCCACTGTCCATGTACATCTGTTTGTCCTTCCTCAGACACAGGTAACTGCAGCACTATTCACTATATATTTCTTTCTATATGATTGATCCTGGAGTGCTTTTGTCCTGCTTAGTTTTCTCTACTCTAACACAGTTGATCCAGCTAATCAGCAAATTAGCACGCCTTGTTGAGTTGATGTGGGTGTGATAGAGCAAGAAAACAGTTAAATATGAAGGGCAGGGGTACTCCATATTGGGGAACTACTGCCCTGTCTATCTCTTCCTGTGTTTATTGTGTCTCTCTCGCTCTTAATCTCTTCTTTCCCCTTTCCTCAGGTTCTCAGAGGATTCCACAGGTGCCCTGAGCCCTCCATCGGCTCGCTCTCCCTCTCCGTCTCCTCTTTCTCAGCCTGCTCTCTCTCCCTCTCCCACCGCCTCCTCTCAGCCTCCTCTTTACCCAGACTGGGCCCGTTCTCCATCCCCTCAGCCCCCCACCGCCACGTCTCAACCCCCTCCGGCTCGCTCCCACTCTCCAGTCTCTCCCTCCTCCGCTTACGCCCCCTACCCAACCTCTCCCAAACACAGGCCTGTGTATCGCACCAAAGCGTTGGAATTTCAGTTCATTCCTAGCCGGGAATCTCGCAAGGCAGAGTCACATCACTCTCAGCGCCGGCGAGCACCAAGTCCACTTATTTCTCCCTCAGATCGGCCCAAACTGGGACCACCTCGCCCCTCTTCCCTCCCAATCCTTCCCACCACGCCCCTCTACAGCAGCCTCTATGACCTCCGTGGCTCCATCACCCCACCATCACCTGCAAACCCTCTGGGTGACCCTTATTTCTCCCCATCTCCTCCTCTGTTTGCCCCGTCTGGTGCACCACCACCACCAAACTCATCTTTGGTGGTCTCTCGCTCCCTCTCGCCCACTCACTTCCTCTCCGGGACATCCTCCCCACCCCTCCACTCCATCCCTCCACCCACCTGCCTCAGTTACCCCCACTTGCCCCCTCCATCCCCCTCCAAACCCTTCGCCTCCAAGCCCCTGCCCTACTGGACCAAGTACGACGTGGCTGACTGGCTCGCCTACCTGAACCTGGCCGAGCACAGGGAGCGATTCCTCGACAACGAAATCGACGGCACGCACCTGCCTTCCCTCACCAAGGAGGATTACCTGGACCTGGGCGTGACCCGGGTGGGCCACCGCATGAATATAGAGAGAGCGCTCAGGAGGGTGATGGACAGGTGAGACGAGAGAGAGAGAGATGGAGAGAGGGGGAGGGGGGAAATAAACCAAGTGCATGGGAAGTGAGATCATCTGAGATTTGGCCACTGCATGAGCTTGAAAGATGGCATGGAGGGGAAAGGGGATGAGTGAGAGAGAAAGAGAGAGAGAGAGCCAAAGAGAAAGGAAAAAAAGGGGAATGCATGAGAGGAAAAGGGAGAGAGATACTACTTCTCTATAAAAAGTGAGCGAGAAAAAGAAGGGAATGTTGGAGAGAAAGAGAGAAAGATGCTGCTCCTATATAAAGCCTTTCCACTTTCCCTCCCGTATCAGGATGTCTAGCTCTTTCCCCGTTTCTGCTCTCTCCCCTCGGGACAGACGGACAGAGAGAACAAGGGATGAGGGCACCCGAAGCTGAGAGGAGAGAGAAAGCGAGAGGGAGAGAAAAAGAGTGAGAGAGAGGAAAAAAAGTGGGGGGGGAGCGTGAGCACCTGCTGCTGCTAGCCAAGGCTAACCCATTCCTGGACAAACGAACGCCAAGAGGAGCATCAACATCCGCCAGGATCTCCGGTGAGGAAAGAAGAGCGAAAGCTTGGACGGAGGGATGGAGAAATGCGTAACGAGGGATCAACATGCCTAGGATCATCGATATATCTGACCACAATCCAGACACACCTCACACATCCGCAGATACAGACACACGGTACACAACCATACTCTGTGCATAAACAAAGAAAGGCCTGATGTGATTAATGCAGAAACAGGGAATCTTAACAACTCAGAAAAACCAACACAACAGTAACATTACTGAGCCAAATATTTTGAGAGAAACAATCGAATGCTTTATTGCGTTTTGTTCATTTTTATTTTTTTATTTGTAATTCTGTGATTCGTGGTCTAAACGATAAGGAGAGAGTGTAAGTCCTCCACGACCTTCTTTCTCTTTTTTTTCTTGGCCTTTGAGTTCCGGTCTGTGTTGCTGATGACTATATGCCTTATTCTCCCCTTTCCCAGTGGATTTGGTGTGGTTAATTGTTGCCTTGACCAAAAATCCAGCTGAGAGGAGAGAATCCGCCTGACTTCTGGCACAGCCTTCTCGGTTGGTAGATTCTAATCGAGGAGAGAAACTGATCGGTGGAGGCCAAATGTAGAGAACGATGCGATTGGCTTTCCTCTTGCGAGTCCTAAACAGCCGTGGCCAGTTTACTGCCTGACATTTCCTCGGTGAGAGCGTGTCGATGCGTGGACCCCTCTTCTGAATGCGTGTGCGTGTGAATGATGAGCTGAACGGTGTTAGTAGAGGCTTGAATGTGTTCGGTTTTTCTGTTTTTACCTCACCTGTTGGAGGCTTTTGCCGAACCTCTTTGCTTTGGTCTTGTGCTGACGTTGTATTTCGCTAGAAATTCTTTACCTTCTCATGTCATAAAATGGCATATATATATATTATATATAAATATATATATATATCTCTATACAGACTGGTCACTGTATTACAAACCCGTAGCAAAAAATAAGTGCCCAGACCAACTGAATAGACACACACACCCTCTAACACATACACATACATGTGCACACACCATACTGACCTTTGCATTCCACAGACACACAAATATGAACACACATCTTTTATTTATATTAGAAATATGGGACACCTAAATCTCTATGTATGGATCCGAGCTGACAATAAAAAAATGACGCAAAAAAACTAAAGGAAGACATCAACAAAGAGAAAATGCTGAAAAATTGATCAACATTTTTACAACAGACTCTCAGCGCATAGGAGTGACTGCTACACCAATCAAACCCACCAACAATACAGAGGTTCATGAGGGAGTCAGGAGAGAGACCAAACAGGCCAATTTCTCTCTTTTATAACCACTCCCCCCATCCTCTTCCTCCAAAAAGCACTCTTTCTTAGGAGGCGAAGCAAAGCGGAACGTGCATCCAGACGCCCTGGATCCACAGGATTCGTGCTTATATCTGTTTTAATATGATGATTGTTCTTATAACGAGTTTTTAAACTTTAAATGGGTCTGGAATACGCCTATTGTTATAAAAAAAAAAACGAGAGAGATTTATTGTTATTTAGTGGAGCCATTCTTCTCATGGTCCTTCCTGTTATCCATGTGAGTTTCTGGGTTACAGCTTTTCTGTTTCAGTGGCAAAGGTGAGCAGGCTTTCAGTCTTTATTTTGGTTTTCTTTGGTTGCTTTACTGTTTCGAAACCTTACATTCTGCTCCCCTCTACCACATAATCAGCTCGTAAAATGATGAAATGCCACTATATGCAATGACTATCAGTGAAACCACTTGACATGCCTGTACTGTCCCACATGGAACTGTTGCACCGGGTGTGTTCAAACGAAGTCGGCCACTCTCAACCCTCGGTTCTCTCATCTGTCACATGCAGTTGCTCAATCAATGAAAAAAGGGCTTTTTCATCCCCTCTCATGAGTTAGCCAGTGCGCCCCCTTCAATATTAATTTCCGAGTGATGTGAAAGATGTTGCTGACTGCAGTCTTCATCACCCCTCTCCCCTAGCCCACCTCCCACTTCATCCATGCGTTTTCCTACAGAGAGAAAGCATGTGATCTATTCGTCGGACAAACCTGGGCAACCATTACATTGAACAGAAAGCTAGACGCGGTTGTCCGGTACGTTATTGTTGCTGATAACAGTAAGGACAATGAAAACACACGTTCATCCTAAATATGGTTTGAGATGTAAAGAAAAAGAATTCCAACTTCTAAAGAATCTCTGTCTTCCAAATAATGTTTAACATGAAAAAAGTTTGTTATTTATGCCCAATGCTTTCTACACATCCTGTTACAGTCCTTGTGTCTGTCTGTCTGGCTGGGATAATTATTTTGCCACATGGTCTTAATTTAATACTGTCAGAAACATCTTTGTCTTCTAATACTGTCGCAGCAGCTTTTACTCAGTTAGACAGTACACTCTTACCAGAGAGGGTTCTTTGAACTGTGCCATAGAGGAGCCATTTAAGCGACTTTTAAATGTTTACATAATGAAAAGGTTGCACAGCAATTTAAAGGGGAATTCCATCCATTGTCCAACATTTGTGCATAATTCAAAGATGTAAATAAGTCATTCAGAGTGGTTTGGTATGAAGTGCTCTGTTCTAGAGAAACTTAGCGAGACAGAATAGTTCACAGTGGTGGTGATAGGAACCAGACGTCCAAAGCATTTAATGCCTCCTAAAACTATCTGAGGTATACATGATATAGTTATGGTTTGAGACACTGCGAGAGTGCGTTAAAAACATTGTGCCACTTTACCTGAAAATATGAACATACATCGTCTAGTAGATGAAGAATATTTAAATCCTTAATTTCATCAAGCATGTATTTGGTTTCAGCGTCGCTCCCAAAGTGTTTTGCTGCGTCTCTCGGTAAGCCTGCTCGCTTATTTCCAGTACCGCCATCTGTTTTCACACATGCGCAGACTGAGAAATATGAGTTATATGAATAAGAGTTCACATGTACTGATTTCTAAACGTTGCTTCAATCTGAGAAATCAGAGTACACCCAAAAAAATATATAAGCCCAAAAGTTAAAACTTATGTTTTTTAATTACGTCAATTTTCCATTCAATTTAAATACATAAATCCAATGTAAAAAATGGTATTATAATTTGTTTCTCCATCATGTTCAATAAACCTGAATGAATTGAATAATGGTTAAATAAGAAGTATTTGTAGGATTTATGCAATTCTTTTACATAACATCTATGTATTTCTAAAGACTTACTAGTACCTTCTGTATTCACAGCACAATTACTTAGACTGTAAATGTATTAAATGACAATACATGTTAAATTCATAAATATTTATTGTAGTCCAAACTGTATTAAACGGTATTTGCTGAGGCAAACAAGACACAGGTAAACTTTAAAGTCTAATGTGAAAGAAATAAACAACTTTATATATTTCAGCTGTGATCAAATTCCCTGGTTTAGAATTTCTACTCACTCGCAACTGAACTACTAATTAAAGCAAATTTTTATGTGCACAACATTCCTATTGAGGTGCAACTCTCAAACTAACCATCATGCAAGTTAGCTAGCTAACGCTATCAGTCACTTCATGCCATGCTAACCTGTCGAGGTCACCTACAGTTACAAAAACCATGAACTGTTGATTTGAATATTAATGGAATACGTCTTTATATACTATGCCACAATAAATCACTGCTATTGTTTATTTAATCTACCTTTTGTACCCGTTAACATGACAGCAGACCTAGCAATGATGTTAGCTAGCTAGTTCGCTGGTGTTGTCTAGAGTATCTGTCAAAATAAGCAAAATAAAACATTAATATTTGGTCAAAAACATTAAAAACACATTAAGTTAATGTGCATCACTGTTTCATTGCAGTTGCAGTTGTGGTTGATGATGTGTTTCCTGTGCACTGCCTCCTAATAAGATTTAGTGGAAAAATCTAACGGGTCTTATACAATTCAATTAAATCAGTTTTGAATGTATGCAAATTGGGTTGCTTCAAATGAATATAAATAAGTGAAGTATATTTTAGTTTTTTTAGAGAAATTTTATGTAAAATATTTGCTTAATGTTTATGAAGGCCATAAATAATTTTTTTTTGAGTGTATGCTGTGTACATGGCCATTTGAATACTGTTTTACAACTGTTTTTGGCCTAAAACTTAGTTTGTAAAATGCATTTATAGCATAGACACATGCGGCCAAGGCAGAACAGTTCCCAAAGAAAACTTTTCCCCCCAGATTTACCACTATTTTTACCATCATCAACATTCCATATAAAACTCAGAAAACACGTGTAGGTTCACTGGTGGTTTTGGATAGTAAATAAAATGGCTGCATTCACGCTGTACACATGAGGCCGCCTGGTTCCTATCCCCACCACTGTAAAGAAATCTGAATCTCTGCAGTGAACCACTCCACGTCAAAGCGCTCTGAATGACTGTTTACATCTTAACCACTGAATTATACAGAACGATTATCCTCATACTTTTATGTGGAGGTTCTTTAAACCTTAAAAAGGTCCTGAACGCTCATAACTCATCTACAAAAATTGTTCTCCATTGAAGTTTTTTAGGGTAGCAAAAGTGGTTCTTCTATGGCACCTTCATTTTTAAAAGTGTAGACAGCTGCATCTCCTCCAGACCACCAGGGGGAGGGGTTGCAGGGTCTTCCACCCTTCTCTTGAGAAAGAGGGAGACAGAAAAGGGAGTAATGGACCTCGGTTAAAGTCCTCATAATGTCGGTCCAGCATTAGCCTTTGAAGAGGAAAGTGATGAGTTTTTGGGTTAGGCTCTCACCAGGTTTACTGCTATATTTTCAGGCCATGGCAGCATCACAGCACAGTCATTTGTTCATCGCCATGCTGCACAAGCTGATTTATATAGTCCTAGAGAAGTGCTTTGGGAAATTTACACATGAGGCTATGCATATGCAATAGAGATCTGCACTGAGAAGAGCAAGGTTAAATACGTCCCTCATCTCTCAGCCTGGTCTGAACAACGTGGCGACTTGAAGCAGCTCCATTCCATATAGACCCCATAATATGAATACGACCACAATATGGGATGCTGGTCAGATGTGAACCATTTGATGCAGTAGCTGAGCGGGGTGTGCAGAAAGCATCCTTTTTTTGTTTTATTTGAAAAATATATATTAAAAAAAAGAAATGGAAGAAAATTAACTATGAAGAGAGATGAAAGATTATTAACAGACTATATATGTATATGTGGTATACATATACACATTCATATATACATATGAATTACAAATGTTTTAATATATGAGTAAAAGTTATTAGAATTATAATAAAGATGCAGGAATAACTTTGAGTGGTTTGAGATGTGTCTGGATTTTTTTTTACAGCACTTCTAACCTCAGATGATGCAGCTTTACAGAAGTTCGTTTACAGTGGGAATATGAAAATAAGTGTTTGGCAGCCCAGGTCCCCAAGTTTCTGTGCACTTCAGTGATCTACAGCTTCTACCAGCACCTTTAGAAGCTTAAGATAAGTCTGTTGGAGCAACATAAACACTAACCAGCACGATAAACAGTTGACTCACACTCAGACCTCTCACAAAAATGGTTCTTGAATGGTTTTTGGTTTGAATTGGGGTTGCAAAACTGAGGGAGTTCTTGGGGGTCTGCGCCCCCCTAATTAACCTCTTGGACCCCCTGAATGTCTCAAAATCAAAATTCTGAGGGGTCCTTGAAAATAAAGTTACGCTCTTAGTTTGGGAAAACCAGACACTCACATACAAATTCAGGGAAAGGCCATTATTTGTCCTATTTCACAGCTGGCGAGTCTCTGTCTTTGATATTCCTAACTCACTGCAGAACTGGTCTGCCTCAGGGTGGCGCTATAGCAAGTAGTTCGCCCTGTTGGTCCTTCATAGCCTAGCAGCTGTGCTCAAAACAGAGAACTTGTAGAGAGGAGAATTATCACTCTGTAATGTCTTCCAGGTTTCTCTAACACTAGAGGGCGCTCCCAAGCGACTCCAAAATGAATGGGTTAAGATGGAGCTTTTGAGTAAAATCATAGTTTATAAATGCTTAAACATTTTTAAGACATAAGAATACAATTATTTTCTGAACACAAAACAGCATAAAACATTTTAACACCGCTGTTACGTTTTAAGAGCTTTTAAACTTAAGTTACAGGATTTCAAAATGGCGGCTCATGTATGTCCATGACGTCAGTGAGTGCGAACAGCCAATG